AAGATTGCTGAAAGTCGCTCACAAGCGAGCAGAGTACAGATGAGATTGAAACAAACATGGCCCCTCAATGTAGGCAATTAAAAGACCTATCTGATTAACAGTTTTCTTAAAACTAATGATTTTTGACTGATGTGAAATAATTCAAGAAAATTACTAAGACTAAATTGTACAGATAAATACTAGGGTACACAATACACATCAAATAGAGAAAAAATGCAGCCTCCTTGATTGTTTGTGAGCCCAGATGTGGCTAAGCTTTATATTCTCCGATGATACTGACATGAACGGTTCAATCTTCAACGGGAACTAGGAATAATTAAACCATCGCACATAGAGATACCGTGCTGTAAGTTTGCAAGGCATGTGGAATAAGTGGGTCTAGATGCTCGACAATATCATTAACTTCCTGCATACTCGCAATTATTCAGGACAAAATACGCCTATACTAAGAAAATCATAGAAGTTGGTTCAAAAGACCAATAATAATAGAATTATATTGATACTATTTAAAGGAATCTTTCCGATACATTTTTACTGAATTTGTAATTATTTTTATTAATTGTCTTTTTCCCGGATCAAGAAACTCCATATTGGAACAAACTCCCTCCGGACGTCAAAAACTCTGTGACAGTTTTAGGCTTTAAAATTAAACTAGTAGGATTTCAGAAAGACATGATTTCTAAAAGTATTACAAATGATTACAAATGATCAAATGAATGAATTAATGAAAGGATAAGTTTTTTAAATAGGACATAGGATAATGTTTTGATAAATTTAAAAAAAAGTTATTATATAATTTCTCAAATAGTGCAACGATATTTTGTAAACATGTGTGATGAATGATGATGTGATGTCATAAATTTTACTTTCCTTATTTTACTTTACTTATTTTACTTTACTTTACTTTATTGTTATTATATATGTTCACCTATTAACCAGTAACCATTTTTAAAATTTAAAAAAAAGTTATTATATAATTTCTCAAATAGTGCAACGATATTTTGTAAACATGTGTGATGAATGATGATGTGATGTCATAAATTTTACTTTCCTTATTTTACTTTACTTATTTTACTTTACTTTACTTTATTGTTATTATATATGTTCACCTATTAACCAGTAACCATTTTAACGAGTGATACTGATCGTAAAATATTTGTTCCAAATATCAAAATATTCCAAGACCGTCGACGAGTCCGGAGTTCAACCCGGCGCGCGTTTTGGTAGGTTATAAATTTACAATTAGACTCACTACACACTTTAAAATTTTGAATTTCTTAAAATATACCATTATTTGTAATTTAAATCCCAGGCCGTCTTGACGGATGTTACTCGTTTAAATTTCTTCGAAGTAGCGCACGCCGGGCCTAATCATTAACAATGGTCAACAGGCCGTCCCATTATATTTCAACTAATCAAATAGTATTATTAATTCGTGGCTCGCAACTAAACACGTGATACTTGTAAAATAGTTGTTTCAAATATTAGACGTCCTCGAGTCAAACACAACGCGCGCGTTTTGATAAGTTATAAATTTACAACGCTGAACGCGCGACTTGCCTTGTCAGATTGCAATGCTCTTTTTGTAATAATAATCGGAACAAATATTTTACGAGTATCACCCGTTAATGCTCTTTTCGAGCGCGCGTCGGTCAGCGTCACTAAAAACTTTTCGGCTACTTTAGCGCTCAGGCATTCAATGGGATATGAGCAAACATATACTTGTAGCGCGATGCGTTACTGTGCCGCGCCGCGCACTCAATGAGGCTTCTCACAGCGACATGCGCCACTAAATCGGCGGGATGCGCTACTGTGGTGCTGCGCCGAGCTGAGATGAATTGACATCGTCAATTTTAGCTTAGATAATTATATTTTTCTATATCATATATTTGTATAATAAGTATAGGTATTGACGTAGTGGATGGTTGAGGGGGTTTCAAGCACAGGTCACTCTCAAATCCTAAAGATAAGCAGCGGCCTTCGGCACTTGAAACCTCTTCAAACCTCCCCTGATTTATTTATTATTGATATTGTTTGATTGTGCCGTAAAAATAAATATTTGTTTTATTAAAATATTTGTTTTATTAATTAATCATATGCATACGTTGCATGCCACTTTTCGCGCCGCCGAAGGCGGATACGTAATTTAACATGTATCAAAGCAAACAAATAATCGCGCTTCTATACTGGTTTATATTATATATTATGTAGTGGCATAATTTTATTAATAACTATATACTTTTATTATAATTATTTATGACAATAACTTAACATGAAATTGAATCGTGCATTTAAATTTATCGAGAGCTCTTCAATTTGCTGTTAATGCGTTATTTACCATGAAAGGACGTGTTGGTCGACACCAAAGTAATCTTTTAAAGTTTATTATAAATGATTTGAATAAAAGAAACCTACCATTTCATTTATCTAAATATAAATTGATAAAAAGTATAATTAATAAAATATGTTAAATAAAGTGTGTTTATAATTATGATTTATGGTACATTGTTATTTATTATATTTATATTTTAGGCTGTAACCTTATTAGTTCAATGGAATAAACCTAGTATGCCTTGGTTGCAGCATCGCTTCACTTATAGGTGCATTTAGGGCCCGATGTAATTGCTATGATCAGTTTACTGGTCAACTGGTGTTTCGGTGTCCCTTATTTTGTTTACACTCGGTCACTTGTCAATATAATATAATGACATGAATATAGTTAAAAGAATATAAGTGCACACAATTGAACAAAAAATTATTTGATCACTTTTGTGTTAATTTAGTTTATTTGTTATTTGTAATGCTTTGTTGCACGCAAAATTACATCATATGGTTCTAATATAAAACCTTTTAAACTCTTTATCTTTTGTATTTACAATTTTCTTATATCATATATAGATTATTGTAGTTCCATAGTATGATTTTGTCTTTTATTTTTTATTATTTATCAATGGCATAGACTGACCTGATGTGGATTATTTTATTTACTTAATACTTCTTTTGAAGAAATTTATATTTAGAATTATAACATGTCATTTGGTAACATAATATATAATGTGTAAAGCCCATATTTGAATAGTCAATTACCAATAATAGTGAAACTTAGTTGAGAATGAATCAACATTTTACATTTTATAATATCTAAAAGGTGGAAGTGAATGGAAGTATAATACAAAAAGTTATAATACAGGTAAATTTTAACATGTCAGAATTTCCCTTTAAATCACAACTTTTCGCATTAAGCTTCCATTCGCATCAAAATTTTGACTACTCAATCAAAACTCAAATAAATCAACATCACTTGCTTCATATCTCACTCACCTTATATCTCCTACGATAATGACTTTTATCAACCACTTCATATCTCTGGCTGCAGGTAACATCACTGTGCACTGTGAAATTATCAAATTACGATATTGCTCGACCTGAATATCTGTTAAAGTATTAATATATTTTTAATACTTAAAGATCCACTATGTGCTAAGAATGTTTCTGTTCATATAAGACAATCTTTTGAAATGCTCATTGTAAACTACAATGATTCAGATTTGTCATTTGCCTGTGTATTTGAGAGAAGGAACCCCAGAAGCACATACCTTAATAAAGCAACCAGTCATACTATCATATTACTGTCCCTTCATATTACCTTCCTCGACAAATGAACCCTAAAATTCAGCCTGACAACAGTGGCGTGACGAAGGGCCCCGCTGACCCAGCTGTGCAGAGGGTTACCATATTAGAGAAGCGCCAAATCGTTGTTTGAATGTGGGACAATTTTGAAAAACCTAACTACAGTACTAGCAACACTGCGCAAGAGATTTTGCGCAAGAGATTTTGCCGGCGTATCCTTAAGAATCTCCTAATTTGTCTATTTTAAGGGAGGTGCGCTAAAAGGGGAGGAGTGCCGATAGGGGGGCCAGAGGCGGCTCGTGGGAGCCCACATGTTTTACATATTACAGTTACACACAGGGCCTGTATGTAATGAGTAACAGGTGACAGCAAGCAAAAACGGAAACTTATAAAATGAGTGAAATAGGACACCACACGTGTATGATCTCAGCCGCGCAGTATGATAGCAGATAGTTCAAATTGCAGGGTGTCCTGGACACCCTGGTTGATATGATGTGATGATGTGCTTTGCAATTAACTGTGTGTTAAAACTGCATGGCTGAGTTGTCTAAACGAGGATTGGACACCTTACAACATGACTTCACAAAGATCATGCGTGCGCTTACATTCGAACGTTTGAGTAGAGGGGGGGGGGGGGGGCAACATGCAACGTTACGCCACTACCTGACAACTCCCTCATAACTTTGAAGTGCCGTTTTCATTGTGGTGCTTATTCTAATCGAACAGCTGAGTGCCATCCTGTCCTGTTTGTTAACCTTGTGTGTTGGTACCAGTAACTACACCGTTGTTATATGAAAGGTAGTAATGAATCGTATCAAGTCATACAGTATCAAGTCATACGCTTATATACAGCAAAGCCCTGGGAAATACATAGTTAATGATATAAAGCAACTTAACAATCTTACCCCTTTCAAACAATGAACAAAAGCTTAGGATAAAATCGAGGTGATAGTAATAATTTAAATAGTCAATATAAAACTTCATTTATAAAGTAAAGGTGAGATGAAACTCTGGGGGTTCATATAAAACAACGAATGAGATCTAACAATAGACCCATAAAAAACACCGGGGGTAAAATCTATCAAATACACGATAAATAAATTATCGAAATCTTAAAACTCCAGTATCCAGAACTTCAAGTATTAAATTTGTCGGTGCCCCAGCTTTGGTAAATACGTTTGCAACTTGCAGTTTATTAGATATCCAATGAACATCAATATTATCTAATTTAACAGTTTCTTTTAAACATTCTATTTCATGCCTAAGTCTCTTATCCTCATTCAGTTTATTACTAACAATGGAATCACACAAAGTTTGACTATCAACATAACATTCAATTTTAATATCCTCAATGTTGAGTAGCTGTGATGTCATTCTGCGAAGGAAGATGCAGGAGTCAATTGCTTCAAGGAGTGCATAGGTTTCTGCAAACAAGGTGCTTCTTACAATTCGCTTTAACTTCTTTGAGCACCATATCAAAGGAGTGGCAAACTGGCTATCATCCGACTTAATGAACACTACATATCCACCCTGTGAAGCTCCATTGTAGAGGTTTTTGTGTGAGGCATCACTAAAGAGGATAAACTTCAGATTTTTCAGATTCCCAAGTGAGTGATGTTTGATACAGACATGCTTTCTCTTTAGCCTTTCTATGACCTGATTACAGTCATGAAAGTCCTTCACAGTGGCATCTTTGATACCTGTGCTGGTGACACAAACCTGAAATGACACATCAGGCCTAGAGTGGTTGGATACCCAAAGGATCTGGCCCAGCTTAGACTTAAGAGTATTCTTCTCATCACTGGAGAGGTCCCTGGTTTTAAGGGCGCCACCTGGTATATCAATGGGACAAAGCTTTTCAATATACTTCTTCTGATCCATCTCAATATAGTCAGCCTTTTGACGAATTTCTAGCCCAAGGTAAGTGAAAGCAGATTTTTCTTCAATCTTTATGAGGAATTCAGATTTTACTTTTGTCATTACTTCTTCAAGAAACTTCGCTGATCCAGCAAACATGAAATCGTCGACATGCAAGGCAAGAACCCCTTCAAGGTCTCCATCCTTTCTCCAGTAAAACACAGCAGGGTCTTTCGATTTCACACCATCAAGATCAATTAAACAATCAGCAACTCGCTGATACCACTTAAGACTGGCGTCCACTAGCCCATAGACACACTTTTTTAACTTCCATATTACCTCTGAGGCAACTTTTGCTTCTTTAGGAGGTTTCATGTACACAGGTCTCATCATGTCGTTCCCTTGCAAGAAAGCAGACTTAATGTCTAATGCTTGTACAATCCAATTCTCTCCGGCAATGATGGCAAGAAGCAAACGAAGACTCTCTTTGCAACAAGTAGGGGAATCACTTAGGATGGACGATGTATCCTCAAGAAATCCCCGAGCAACTAGTCTAGCCTTTTTGGTATCGCCATTCTGTTTACATACCCAAGTACTTGTGATAATTTTTCTAGCATCTAGCTCTTCTATCTGAACTTCTTCATACACCTTGTTAGTTACCCACGAACTCAGTTCTAACTGCTTTTCAGTTGCATAGTCATCCAATTGAACAGCATAGACATCTTCAATTGGGTCGAAATCAAAATCATCACCTTCATCTTTGTTCAGTACAGTGAAGTCATCAATGGTAGATACATCTATAGATATGACTTCGTCTGTTTCTTTAACATGAACATTGTACCAATTCTTATGTTTACCATTAGCCCTCCCTCCTCTTGACAATACAACAGCCTCATACTGTGTCCCATCATCAACAAAGATTATTGTTGAGCCTCTCTTAATGGCAGTTGGCTTGTCAATTCTTTGATCCTGCTTAGTACTGACTGTGTTTTTATCTAACTCAGCAATTTCAGGCAAACTTGTAGGTGACTCAGCTTCGATTTCAGTTGGATAATTAACTTCAGCTACAGGGTTTGTAGAAGGCTCTACTTCAACTTCTTGGACTGGAACATCATCACTAGAACAGTCAAGACCTGGTATTCTAAGTACACTTGCCTCTTTGATAGACTCAACATCCTGAATTGGACCATTTGTACTATCAGATTTAGATTCATAGGGAACCTGGTCCTTCACAAGAGAGATCCTGCTCTGATGTACTCTTGTTACAAAGCTTCCTTGACGAAGAAATACCACTGTACTATCTTGTCCTATTACCGTTGCAGGGCCCTTCCACTTGTCTGATCCCACAGCTTTGTAGTAAACTTTACTTCCAAAGGTTATGGGTGTTGTGTAAGTTCTCAGTGGCTTCTTCAAAGCCTTCATTATCCTATTGGAGCTTTCACAGCTTAGAAACATCCTTCTAGAAGCGTTCATTGCATTAATATGACTAGCGACTACTTTACTTGATGTTTCATTCTCAAGAGCAGGTGGACTTGAGTTGAGGACATTGGGCAGGTATGTTTGTGTCCCAAACATGAGCTGATTGGGTGAGAAACCCGCAACAGTACTGAGTGAGTTCTTTGCACTACACGCCCAGCTGAGTATGGTATCAACCTTAGTATTTGGAAATTCTTCAGCCAGTTTCAGCATCATCAAGGAAATTACAGCATTATGCCGCTCAACTATTCCATTTGAGAAAGGACTATAGGCAGCAGAAGTCTTATGCTCAATGTTGAAATTCTGTGTCCAATCTTCAAACTCTTTGGAACAAAACTCTCCGCCATTATCAGAGAATATCAATGAAGGGCACCCAAAGACGGATATCCATTTCTGACTGAGAACATCAATAATTTCACTAGTCTTCTTGGACCTGACAATCCCAGCCTGACTAAACCGAGAGAATTCATCAATGATGTGCAGGTAGTACACATTATTATCCAGCTTGTGCAGATCAATGGCAACTGATTCATTTATTCCTCGAGCTCTTGGAAATGATGTGCATGGTTTAGCAGGAGCCTTCTTGTAAACTTGACAGATCTCACAAGTTTCAATGACCTCTTGTAGAACTCTAAACAAATCTACATCTCCCAAACCAGCATCACTAAGTAATCGCCTGAGCTTGTCATATGAACCATGTCCCAGCTGACAATGAAGCTTTTTCACCGAAGCTTTGTCCAATTTCTTTTCGACAAACTGACAGACATTAACGGTAGCTGCTTCTTCTAAGTGGTCTTCAAATGTATCATCAATCTCAATGTGAGGCAACATATCAATCATTATTAGCCCAGTGGAGGTGAAAGAAGTGGGAATGTCCTTCCCAAACATACTAACACGGTTGTTGACCATATCAATGACAGTCTCAGTATTCTGCATAGTCTCTTGACTAATTAAAAGAGGTATATCATCATTTACCACATCACATTTTAGATCAAACAACTCACCATCAAGATTCATTGGCAGAAGAACCTGTTTTGTTGCTCTGATAGGGTCACCATCACCAAACCTATACACAGACGAAGAAGGAGAGGTTTCGAGAACAACTTTGGACTATTTCACAAAATCCTTCAACCATAATTCACCACACACTGTTTTGGTACAACCAGTATCCAAAATAGCATTACCAAATGATTCAGCAAGGTAAATAGCTTGGGGTGAGGAATACTCTTTGGTGAAATATTGAAGTTTCACCTTCTCTGTAACGTTCTCCAGATTAGGTTCACTTTCCAGCTCTCCTTGGACTGAGCGTGTAAAGAAGGATGGTGTACTTTTGCGTGGGCATTCTCGCACCAAATGATACTTTGAATCACATATCAAACACAACATTATGTTCCCATACTTGTCCTTTCGATTTATGTACTTGTTCTTGCCCTGATGTTGCTGCTGATTACCGTTCGGGTAATACTGTTGATTATTATTTGAACTGAATTTGTTCCCTGATCTGAAGTTTTGGTAGTTCTTTTGTCCTTGTCTGGCATAGAACGACTCTTGTGTCTCCTGCTTAATTTTGATATCATTTGATCCACATGTGCTGGTTTTTCCACCCAAGATACGTTTGATGACAGACTGCATTGAGTCATATTTAATATCAGTGCAAGCAGTCATGATCATTTTCTGTTCATCAGCACTCAGATCCATGGACCTCATCAATTTGAAAGCAAGCACATTATCAGGATAAGTAATGTCAATAGCTTTAGCTTGTTTCATAGCACGGTCAAAACGAATCATGAAGTCTGCGACTTCTTCATCTTGATTTCTTCTTATATCTTCAAAAATAACATACCTTTCATAGGCCATATCATTTTTGTCTTTCTCAAACACCTTGTCTAGATGTGTGATTAAAAGTTCCAAACCATTTTCTTTGACCATATCTTCTAGAGACATTTCAATTGCAACAGTTTTGTAGTCTCCACCCAAGACCCCAATAACCGTAGGAGCTTGTTTCTTCACCGCGACATCTGTCCCTAACTCCCAGATTTTTATCTCCTTTTTCCATGCTCCATAATCCTCACCAATCCTAGGAGGGCTTTGCTTTGACATTTTCACACTTCCTGCAACCACTGTTAACCTTGTGTGTTGGTACCAGTAACTACACCGTTGTTATATGAAAGGTAGTAATGAATCGTATCAAGTCATACAGTATCAACACTGTTAACTATCATTCTAACTCTAGTGTCCATTGTCCAATGATTCTTGTAAAATCGAAATTTTCTCCATTGATTTTTTTGATAATATCGATATACCAGGAATAATTTAAAAAAATTCATATTCAATGGATCAAATTAGAAGATGTTCGTCATTGATTATTATTTTTATTTACTTATTCATTTATCGTATTTTTATCTTAAATGTTAATCTCCCTGTATTTTTGGGATGTCTATAAATTTATACACATAATGAACTGAGATGATCACAATAATTTATAATAGGCATCAGGATGTTGCTGTTTATTCTATTGAACCTGTTTTGGAAAGCAACTGGAGAAGTCTACAGCTCTTATGAGAATGTAAGGCATATCAACAAGATCGAGAATCAACTGGTGAGAAAATTTACAACTGGCTTCTGTGATGAATCTAGTATTCCTTAAAAATTCCCTAAAGCCAACTCTATATTGTTGTTCGTAATCATGGGCCCAATTTCTAAATGGACACCTTTTGGACGCAGATGACCGTGTGCCTTGGCTTCTATATCCCTGTGTTTCAGATGATCTAGTAATTGTGCCAACAGAAAATTATATTAAGAGAACACTTGCAATACAGCCAGTCTTCAACATAAAGATCTGTGCTGACTTTTAAAATTAATCAATAACATTCCAGCATCATTGGTTACTTTCTCAAAAGTACTTCTTCCAGGTGCAATTGCTTGGGGATTACATCTCGGAAGAACGTGAGCGTCTCAACACGTTGGAACGGTTTCAGCAGTATGTTGCAGACAGTAAAAACTATACAGAACCAGACTCATACATTAGCTACCCTACCAATCAGGTTTTTGGCATAAAAACTTTAACTCCACACTTTGTTATTTCGAGTTCAATTCCTCTAATAAGACCATTTAAGTTTTTGGATTCTTAACAAATTTTTTCCCAATCCATGACTCAAAGGTGCCGAAGGCACAAAAGAGTCAAGGACAAGGGTTAGCGATCGAGGTTTTTTAAAAATATGGTAGCTTTGCGACCGTGCGTGCCTGCGAGCACTGTTATCGCCCACATAACTACCTGCGAAAAGTTATTTTGCGTGATAATCTGAATTATATAATTGTTGGCGCGCGGCGCTGAACCAACCAAGTACATTATTAATTTCATCATGTACGTATCCCACTAGGCACTAATTGATAGCATATTATTATTATTTTGAGTTAGTATTACTATTTTGCTCAGATCCGTGTCAGGTTGCATAAACAAAAAACATATGGTTACATAGAAGTATACACGATTTTAAAATTCAATATAGAATTATATTAACTGGGCTGCGCTCGGCAGTCGGCATGTCACTTCGCCATATTTGCATTTTTATAATTTATATAAACAGTAAAGACTGGGCCGTCCCCAGGTTGTATGGAATATGATAAATACGCCATCACGGATCGGGAAATTGAGCGGCCATCCACAAAAGAAAAGCGGCCGCATTTCTTGTTCATAAATGTGTTAATGGTCTTGGCCCAGGGCGCGCGCTACTTCGTGCACGTGCCATAGGGCCCATAACATTCGAGAAGAAAGCGGCGCGCGCTCTTCGAAGAAATTTAGACACGTAACATCCGATGCTTCAAGGCCGAGTTATGCGAGGTTTATATGTTTACTTGGAGTTCATCAGATATCGCTTCTACTAAATCGCATGCCCCAAATTCAAGAAAATTCGTGTGAGAAAAGGCCCTTTGGGTATGAAATTGATCTAGATCGGTTTGTTTTTTAGACGCTGTTTCCGGAAATCCGAATCACCCCATGACGTTTAGGGTAAAAATGTTTCCCTGGGATTTATGGGTTAAAACATGAATTCGATTTTTAGGACTCGTGTAAGGGTTAGGGTTGTGGTACATGGTAAGGGGTTAGGATGATGATTAATCCTTACACTCGACTGTCACGTGTCTTTTTCAACCCGTTCTCTAGCTGGCCTAAAAGACTATTCGGAACCCTAACCTTTTAGTTGATCCCAACCCTAACCCTAACCCATCCCATAAACTACAAAGCATTGCTAAACCCTAACCCTAATAACCGAAATATTAGAACTAACTTCCTTTATGGGCATATCACGTGAATCGAGACAGTTTTTCGCCAATATCTCGTCAGGGAGGATTTTAACCCCCTATGTTCAGGGGGGGGGTGTTCGGAATCAGCGTCGAAAATACATCGATTGAAGTTGGTTTCAACTGTCGGGGGCCCTTTAGAACACATCTCGAAGATCGAATGTTGAGGATTAGCACGCTCGAAGGGTTAAGATAGCTTCTAGTTCGGGGTTTTGGTTAGGGTTTAGACTTTAGGTGGTTAGGGTTGGGATGTAGGGTGTCGGTAACACCGTTTTGCACGCTGCAAAAACCATAAAAAACTCTAAGTCACGTGATATTTTTGGGCGAGAAATTAGTAAAGATTATGTTTATATTGTGGGCAATGCGTTACTGGGCGCGCCGCGCACTCATTATGTTATCGCCGACCACTAAATCGGCGAAATGCGCTACTGGGCCTCGCCCGAGCTACGATGAATTGACATCGTCAATTATGTTTCTTAAACAATATAAGGATAATAAAGATTAGGCGGAAATGACAGCTGAAGCGCCGGCCAGCTAAATTAGGGTTTTAATCAGATATATACCAATTAAATATAGGATCACCCTCGATGATCCTAGAGCGTCTGAAGTGGCACACATTAAAATAAGTACTTTGCTCTATACCAGAGCCCTCTCGCTTGCCACTAGCGCGCGACGCCGAAGGCGCGTTCGCAGTACGCGTAGACACATGGCTTTTGAAGATCATACTAATCTTACAAACAGACGCATCTCGAACAAAATATTAATAGGATCTGCTTTCATTATACATTGATCCAATTACGATAGACGTGTTTTGTAGGCGCGATGCACTACTGGGTCGCGCGCGCAATCAAATATATGCTTATCGCAACCACAAATGTAATGCTAGATTCGACGAGATGCAAAGGATTGTCATCGGGAATCAAGGACTTGTTGTAAGTTTATAACCTACCAAGCGGCGCGCCGAGTTGGATCGTTCGGCGGTCTTCAGTCGATCTTATCGACTAATAATTAATTTAATATTTGAACAAATTTGATTGACGATATCACCTTTCAGATCTTGTCATACGTTGTATGACCGCCGTGCACGATGTGTGCGGCTCCCCATTGTATTGTACTAACTCTTACCATAGTGAAACTATCTATAGTGAAACTGTACTAAGTGAAACGACGATGGGGTGTCTGACGTGATTCCAATTCAGATCATGTTGCTCTGCAAAGCCATTTAATGATAGTTCGCGCGGCCGTTTTCGAAGCTGCGAAGTCCTGGAAACAAGTATTTTGCGAGTATAACTAGACCTATTAATAAAACCTGCCGTCTTTATTATCTTATGATGATATAATAACAACCATAATAATATAAGCTAGTAAGTACTCTGAAGCGAAATAATATGAAGCTGCATAGTGCTTATAGCAGGTGTTCAGGCTGCACGTTTTAAATCTTCAAAAACACGTTGCACTTGCAAAATAAAAATCTTCAGTGCACCAAATGGCGAAGCAAATCAACTGGTTGTGTATTAAATCTTTTATCTTGGGACCCCCAGGCTATATGTTCATAACCACCGAATAAAGATTTCGGCGGAAATGACAGCTTGAGCGCCGCCCAGTAATTAAAATATAATGATAAAAAAGTATATTAA